TTCTGACAAGCAAAATCAAGGGGGAAGCCAGATTCATTTAACAACTGTGTCACTATCTTAACAAGTGCAGTGATTCACTTAACAACTTTGTCAAGAAAGGTCCTAAAAATGGGGCAAAGCTCACTGTCTCACTTAGCAACAGAAAGTTTGGGCTCTATTGTGGTCGTAAGACGAGGACCACCTGTATGACGAAACGGGCGAAAGGTTTTGGTTATTCTGTGCCATCAAGTCTGTGTCGACTCTTAGCAACTGCATGATGAACGTTCTCCAGAATGATCTCTATCCCCAACCGGATCCTTCAGGTCCCCCAATGGATCCCCCATCGCCACTTTGCCTGGATCCACTCCCCCGGTTGCCCTCTTCTCATTCCCCCCATCTTTCTCAGCATCAGAGCCTTCTCCTTAAAGCAAACATTGTTGCAGCCTATCTCTGATTGATGACAGTTTGAGCCTGGTCTATTTATTCCCGGAGTAAGAATTCTGGTTGGTTTCTTGTGTGATCCATTTGTCTGTTTTCTTGGCTGTCCATGGTAATCTCAGGAGTTTTCCCCAACACCAAAGTTCAAGACCTGTCCACCCTCTTCCTGTCCTGCTTCTTCAAAGTCCAATTTTCCCTTCCCTAGAAGGTCACAGGGAATATCATGGCTACCCCAGCTCTGATCTTAGGTTTATGTTCCTCTAGCCCAGATGCTTCCCTAGCATCTAGTACCAGAGATACAATAAACGTTGGGAAATGGACTTAAAGAGCAGCCCCCCCCCCATGGACGAGAGACTCGGGTGTCTTCTTCAGAGTGAGATCTTTCGGGTGGCGAGAAGGGATCAGCTGAAGATTCTTGTGACCCCCGCCCCCAGACGGGAGAGGATGATGGTTTGGGAGGAAGCGAGGGAAGAACTGCACTTGGGCGAAGATCTGTGGAGGAGGCATGCCGGTAGAGACCACCACCCCCCAAAAAAAACACCTGGAGGGATCCATAGGCTAGAAAAGGGGGGCGGGAGCAGCTACCTAGATCCACTCTGAGGATCTTTGGATCCACTAGAAGGGATCCGCCCGGGGCTTCTTCCCGGCCCTCCCCCTGGCGCTCCCCCAACCTCGGCTGCACGGAGGACCCTGCCCCGCTTCTCCTTCCGCCCCGTCTCAGCCGCCGAGGGGACCCCGGCCTGTCTGGGGCGGCCCCTGCCTTCTTCCCCCCCCCCCCCGGGAGCGGCTCTTCCTCGGGGTCCGCCTCCCCTCCCCGCCCTCTTCTCCAGCCTGCGGGAAAGGCCGCAATCCTGGCAATTCCCTCCTGGACTATTTCGCAGCCATCGCAGAGCTTCAGCTTCCGCCCAGATGCCGGAGCAGGAGGGAGCCCCGGCCGCGCACAGCAGGGCACTCTTCGCATGGGCAGAGGAACCCCGGACGCGGAGGAACAGGGAGTCCCGGCTGATGAATGCAGGGAGGGGGAGGAGCTGAGGTGGCTATGGGGCGGAGCTACAAGTCGGAGCCCGAGAGGAGAGGAGAGCAGAAGCCCCGCCTCTCTCCTCCCACTCGCTGGATCTCCGCTTGCCTCCGCGCGTCCCGCTTCGCCCTGCGAGGATCGGCGCTGGATCCCTCGGGAGAGGCTTCTGGATCCCGCTCGGGGCAGGTCTGGCCGCTCTCCCTCCGGCCTTTGGGGCGCCCCTCCCGCCAGGAGAGCTTTCCCCCCCCCGCCAGGAGAAAGGTAGCTGCGGATCCGCCTCTTCGGCTTCCCGGGTTTTCCTTGGGGAGATTCGGTTCAGACACGACAGCAGAGTTCCCGTATCTGAGGGGCTGCCCCAAGGCAGAGGGGGCCAGGTTCTTCACCAGAGCACCAGAGGGAAGGACGAGAAACAATGGTTGGAAACTGATCAGAGAGAAAAGCAACCTGGAATTAAGGAGAAACTTCTTGAGTGAGGACAATCAACCAGTGGAACAGCTTTCCACCAGAAATCATGGGCGCTCCATCACTGGAGGCTTTTAAGAAGAGGCTAGACCAGGGGTAGGCAACCTTGGCTCTTTTATGACTCGTGGACTTCAACTCCCAGAATTCCTGAGCCAGCATGGCTCAGCTTGGAAACCTCTCCCTTTCCCCTCAGCCTGGCTGGCTCAGGAATTCTGGGAGTTGAAGTCCACGAGTCATAAAAGAGCCAAGGTTGCCTACCCCTGGTATAGGTTCTCCTGCTTGAGCAGGGGGCTAGACTAGAAGAACTCCCAGGTCCCTTCCAGTTCTGTTCTATTCTACTAAATCAATACAAATAAAAAAAATAACATTATTTTCATTCTGCAGTGTGGCTTAACAGCCTTTCCAGGCCTGTTTTCCCCTCTCAGCTGCTGAGTTGCAATGCTAGTATTGCCCCTGAGAACAAGCACCAGATCCGGGCTGCTCCCCCAAACTCTCCTCTTTCCTATCCCAGGAGCTCTGGGGATTTTGGGAGATGGGCAACCCAGAGAGGGTGAGACTCTGCAGAAACCCTCCCCCCCACCACGCTCATGGTCTTAAGAGACC